GTGTTGTGCCGATTTGTAGCATGCCAAGGGCACGTAACCTTTCATTTTGGGTAAGCCGACGCATATCAAAATTTGTTTTCTGGTCACTAAAACAATTAAACTGATGTTTCCACCCTGGAATTCAATGCCACAATGACTGTAACATTCAAAGTCAGAGTCGTGCAAATCTTGGGTTGGACCCCCATGATGATCCCAAGCATCACCTGCATTCCATGCGGTAGCTATTGGAGCGTTTGGGCGTCACATGTAACTGGAAATGTTTCTTCTGTTAGGTTCTATAGTGACTTTTTTCGTAGTCATTTGCATATTTTAGTATTATGCCCCCAAAATCAAATATCCCCTACTTTTTTTGAATAGTATATATAAATTGGCATGTACAAGAATTGGGGTGCACGTAAAAGAATTGGCGTGCGCGTAAAAGAACCCTCGGCAGTAGGGCAAAATTTCCCCTTAGCACACTGTATGGCGTATCATTATCCCAGTCGGATCAGAGCAGTAGGACGTTAAATCCCATTTCCTTTCATTCCAAATTTGCACGATTAGCCATCTAAGGGCTAAAATACGAATCAGAACCATATAAAAGTGATGACCTATCTGTTCGACGCTTTTCATTTTCAGTACTATTGGAGGGGTTGTGTAATTCTAACTCGTTCTTCTTTTTATTTCAGATGATGAATTCGAATAAAACGTTAAAGTCAGATCCTGGTGTGGCAGAATTCGACCTGAGTTCGTATGCCAACAGTTCTCATGAGCGCGGATTTATCAATAGTGCTAAAGTTGGAATCTCAATCTGTGTGTGGAACATTGCTGTTAATCTTCTCTTAATCTTCTTCATTCTATGTTTTCGTAGAACTCGGAGACAATTTGTCATGATTCAGATTACTAACATTGCCGTGATAGATCTCTTAACAAGTGCATTGGTGAATACACTGACTATTTATTATGAATTTGAACAGTGGAAGCTAGGACAAACGATGTGCGAAGCCTGGTTAATCCTGGATGTGATGTTACCTTTTGCAGCCTTTCTGGGAATCATGTTGCTTTATTTTGACAGATTGATATTCGCCATGAGGCCATCATTCTATTACAGATTATTTAATCAACTACCACATCGCTGCATCTATCTGGCAATTCCTTGGGTTTTGAGTTCTATTATTATAGTTCCAATATGGTTATTTTGTGAAGTAAACACCATTAGGCTACATTTTATGTGCATTTACGCTTTAACGGAAAGCGCCATGGTGGCTTCGTGGGTTATCGCCCTGTTTTTGCCTTGTATGGGATTAATTATGTTAACTGTTTTAGTGCTAGTAACCGTTGTTAATCAAATGCCGACCAATCTCAACGAATTCAGCAGCGTAACCTTCGAAGAGCATCGCCTTAGCCAGCGTGCTCAGAGAGAGCGACATTACAGCATTGTTCTTGCTTTGTGCATTGTAAGTTTTTGTGCCCTTGTGATGCAGTTACCATCTGGTACCATCATCTTGCCGAAAAATTTGAGCTGGCTGAGATCGGCAACACCCGGTGTGCGACCAATCATTTGGTTCTTGTTTACAGAGATAAAATTCTCGTGCTGTTGCTGTGTACACGCAGAATCAGATTCTACGGCACCAGAAGCAGTGCCAATGACGTCATACACTCATCAAGAGGCGTTAACGTCTGTTAGTAATGCTAACGGAAGTACCATTGTTACATGACTGGATGAAAACGATCATGAAGATACTAAAAAAAATGGTGCTGATAAATTTATTTCATTGACGTTAGTTTAGAATACAAAACTTATAAAATGTGTATCCAAGGCAGTTAGTTTTATGGTTGTCCTGACCGAAAAGTTTGCGAAAATGTTCACGTTCAAAGACAGGGAAACTGATAAAATCAGACGTCCCACTAACCTTTATACTAGAAGTCATATTGAGACAATCATACCGTTATATACTACAAGCACATGCGCTGTGCTCGGAGAGAATATCTGCGGGACAGTGTCATTTCCCCCTGGTCGTCTTCGAATTCAACTTTCTAAGTTTATGTTACGTGCATGTGTATTGGTGAATTGCAGTGGATAGGCAATTCGTTGGTGACTGTTAAAGGGGGTACGAGATACTTAGTTGTAGTTCTTTGCATCGTACTATGAAATGACAAATGAAAATCGAATAATAATTTTTAATTAACGTTTTGTGAGAAATATTCTCACTTAGTTCAGTGGTTCCCAACCTTATCTTGGTTGCGACCCCATTCCAGAAACCAGCATCTGATCGCGACCCCTCGAAGAACAAATTCACCTTTTACTATGAAACATCATCATTGTTTACTTTTATTATCGTTTCACTTTTGACAACTTATTGTTTACATTTTTCCACTTTTATAAAAATTGAGGAAAGACGATTAGCAATGTTGCAAGAGGTATATAGATCAGAGAGGCATATGCTTTTCATGAAAATCATGACATTTTTTTAAAAAGGTTTCAGAGAAGTCCGTCACGACCCCACGAAAAGTGCTGTCGCGACCTAAAGGATGGGAACCCACGACTTAGTGCAAATGTGGTAGCAAACTTTGATGCAATTTTCTCTTTTTTTTTTTGGTACTTTTAAAATTCTGGGAACCACTTTACGCCAACAGTAAGAATTTTAATGCTGCATTCAAGGCTTGAGATTTGCGGCTAGAGATATAATTTGGAGAAACCAAAAGTATTTTATCTGATCATGTGGGTCAAAGGCCCTATATACATTTATAAAGGCCCTATATACATTTAGGTGTTTCGTAGAATTTGTAATTAATGTTGTTTTTAATTGTTTCAATGTGTCTTTTCAACTTGTCACTGTGTGTTTAAATGAAATAAATAACAGGAACAATTGTTGTTTTTCCTTGTTACTTGTTTCAAAAACTTCATTATTAATTTTACGTTGCTATTTTCTATTTTCTTTCTCTCTCGAATTGCCGATTATTGTTTTAAGAATACAGAGAGGCGTTGAGTCAACTGGCGGGGTTTCGATTCCCCGGATGTACGTGACAAGGTGTAGGGTCGCCTGTCCAACCTCGTGGGTTTTCTCCGGGTCCTCTGGTTTCCTCCCACTGCTAAAGACCCCTACGCGCAAGCAAATTATTGAAATAAAAAAAAAAAACATATGTTAGTCCGAAATGACCTAGTTTGTGTCGAGTGGACGTTAAACCCCATTTCTCTTTCTATCTCATAGCCCGAAACCTTTGGATAAACTTGGCAACTTGTTGGTTGATGACCAGTACAGAGAGTCATAACTATTGGACAATATTTATGTTATTTATTTAAAAATAAATTGAGGGATGACGTGCGATTTGTCACGCGGATTTCTTCGCTGACATAATTTTAGTTACTGGTACATATTTATAGAAAAACTAAATGCACTTCGTTCTTTTACCAGTCAAGCGGTGTGTCATGAACAACTACTCATCGATCTTTCTAACTTTTAGACGTCATACTCATACGCTTTCGCTAATAGATGTTATTACTACCCAACGATCTTCCTATCTTTAGAAAATAATTCGGTGAAAGATCTAGGATTCAGTTTTAATTTTAGCACCACGACCCAATAAATACTGAAGTCCTATGTTCCATAGAGTTGGGGTCACTCTACTATGTTTAAATTCATTCTTTATTTTATCTAAAAATCAATATTAAGTTAAGACAGGAAGCTTAGTGTCTGTGGATCTAAACCAAGACTATACCATGCAAGGAACCGAAAGCTTTTAGATCCGAGAATTTAATTAATATTTCCAATGCCCTGGTATCCTTGAGCAATAGCATAAATAACGTTCCCGAGACATCCGTAAATCAGACAAGTTTGAACGCCACGGTTATGATATATTTAAAAAAATAATCTTAACTGTATGTGATAAAATAGTGAACTTGTTCAATGTTTGATATCTAAGTATTGCTATTATTATATATGTTGTTAATCTGTTGTAATATATATTTTGTACATTCTTATATAGAGAATCTCCTACGAATCTTTTTTGATATAGAAAAAGACGAGTAGGAGATTTTATTTATCCCCCAATCCTTTGTTACATGCACAAATAAATAAATATAATTCTTTGCTATAGATTTAACTTTTACTGAACATGATTGCATTACGGCGTAGTGATGCATCATTTTTTGACAGCAAATCAACCAGTGTTTCCACCAAAAATGAACTGTTCTTTGAAAATAAAAAAAGTAGTTTGTTTTTAACAGATTATGAAATTTATCACACAAGCGATATCTACTGTAGAATGTATTATTGGGTGATAAATTTTATTATCTATGTGCATCTTATACTAATATTTTTTAAAAACTATTCACCTCAGAACCGAGGAGTGTTTAAAAAGTCAGGACGTCGTGGACCAGCAGGTGGTTGTAGCAAGACATGAAAGCTATATAAAGAAACAAATTATAATGATAAACTACTCTACATTTACGGGATCACTCAATTGACACATTCTATTTGTCTAATGATACACGCGTGTAACTTATGTGATGTGTACAGAAATTGTGCCATTAATTTCGGTGGTTTTATAACCAATTTGTCTTCTACACTGACTTGTTCTGTACTGACCCGTCATTTATTACCAAATTGACAGAAAGGTTTAAATGGTCTCGGTATATGAGTTTTGCTTTTGCATAGGATGACTCGGCAAACCTCAGTAGATTCCAGTACCAAACATCTAGCCTCGGCTGTATGACGAAGTCCGCCATTGGAACTACTTTCAAGTTCCCGGATTACCAACGGCGTTGCCCATGACGACGCCTTTGAAGAATGTTTTATCATACAAATATTTCAAAGTCTGCAGCTATTTTTCTTTCAGGTTTATCCGATTTTCTTCAAACAAGGACAACTTTGCACTGAAAATTCTACACACTTCTTTTTAAAAGCGGCAAGTTTCCCTAATAAGTAAACCGGTGCTGCATCGCAATTGTATAGGCGTAGGTACATATCACTTACCGTCATACAGCCAAGGCTAGATGTAGAGTAACGGAATCTGCCGAGGTTTGCCGAGTGAGCATAGGATAATACTTGAAATAAAATTAATCTGACATGGCTAATTAAGCAGTGCACGTACGAAATTTTAAGTATTTTATTTTTTATAGATTTGTCATGTGTGTGAGACTGTACCAACCTTTTGTATAATTGTACGTGCCTAAATGATATAAATGGATTTTAAACCATTTTGGAGATTGTGTGATTTTATTCCGTGGAACTGGTAATACGAATCAAAAATAAAAGATAGTCCTTAACCACAAGATAGGGAACGATCTAGTCAGATTTAATACCAGGATTTAAACCCGTCAATTGTTCGAGGAAAATCTCATTATCGTAGTCACTATTTGCCTTGAGTCGAATTACAGTAACCGGCAAGGTGGCAAGGAACTTACATATCATGATATTCTGGATTTGAATCCAGCTTTTGAGTGACAGGATCAATAGACCGTTAAATCGAAACTGCCACAAGGACACAGCTCGCGACAGGATGATTTATCAATAACCTATCTGACAAAAGCGATTATACCAGTTGTATTGTACAACTTTTACAGCAATAATCGAATATTTCCGACCCGGCATTATGTCATCCCGTCTTTGCATAAATTTTGTTTAATGAAGGATGACATGTAAGAAAGTTAATCTATGAAAACTCGTAAGTTTACAAAGAATTAAAACATAGTTCAAATTGATATATCGCACAGTCGGAGCAGAAAAGTAGGTGTCACACTATCTTAGTGATAACAGAGATCAGTTTGGTAAATATATGATTTATTTACACCAGGTATATAAAACAGCTACAGTTACATACATACAACAATACAGGAACTTAAACTAATATACAGGAACACCTATATTAAATCCACCATTCTGCCCCTCTGCCAAGGCAGCGGCTGAACTCGGGTGAGTCCATACGCCGGTCTCTCCGTCTCCGCTCGTCTCTAATCGTCTTTAGTTGTCTGCCTGACTGTCAGCAAACTCCTGCTAATAGCGTACGACAATTAGGGAAAATGGTTAAGAGTGATCATCATATTATACTATTCAAAAAAAGTAGGGGATATTTGATTTTTAAGTGTTATTAAAGTCACCTAATGAAACTGACGAAGAAACAAATGACAAAATGAAATGAAGTTCACATTCATCGATTTATTCCAAATGATCGTTAGACTAAGTAAGGCACAGACTGGCCATTATAAGGGTAAAATGATACCCGGGGTCAAACAGCAAAGTTACCACAGCATCACAACCAAGTCAGTAACGGGTAAATCCTCCTCTGTTTGCCAAACAAGCATTGATCCGACGTGGCATACTCCTAATGAGAAGTCTAAGGTCATTTTGGTCCAGATTGTCCCATTCCTGTTGCAACGCAGCAGCAAGTTCTTGGACATTGGCAGGACGTTGTTGACGTTGACGTAACCTCTGTCCAAGCATGTCCCAGACATGCTCGATGGGGGAGAGGTCGGGACTCAGTGCTGGCCAAGGTAATGTGGTGATGTTCTGTTGTTGGAGGTAACCTGTAACGATCCTGGCCCTGTGACATCTTGCGTTGTCATCCTGGAAGATGAAACGGCGGCCATGATGTCGTGCGAAGGGCACAACATGGACTGCCAAGATGTTGTCCCGGTAGTACTGGCCTGTAACACGCCCTGCAACAACATGTAAAGCCGTTCTTCCAGCAACAGTGATGCCTCCCCACACCATAACAGAACCACCCCCAAATCGATCATGTCTGATGACGTTAACGTCTTGGAAGCGCTCGTTTCGACGACGCCACACCCTCCTACGTCTGTCCAAAAAATCAACAGTGAACCTTGACTCATCTGAAAACATCACATTGCTCCAGCGTCGATTATCTTAGTGTTGACGATCCCTACACCAACGACGTCTTGCCTGAATGTGATGATCTCTCAAACAAGGGATCACGCGAGGACGTCGGGCGCGAAGGTGACCCCTATGCAGTCGATTCCGAATCGTCTGGCCACTCACTCTCACACCAGTGTCTGTTTGAAGACGAGCGCTGATCTGATTTGCTGTGATGACACGATTTCTCAAGGCCAAGGTACGGATAAATCGATCCTGGGCTTGAGTTGTCGCCCTTGGTCGACCTGAGCGTGGTCTGTCCTGTACAGATTGTGTATCACGGTATCTGGACCATAGCCTGCTTATGACAGACTGAGAAACATTCATCGTCCGCGCCACAACCGCCTGTGTTGTGCCGATCTGTAGCATGCCAAGGGCACGTAACCTTTCATTTTGGGTAAGCCGACGCATATCAAAATTTGTTTTCTGGTCACTAAAACAATTAAACTGATGTTTCCACCCTGGAATTCAATGCCACAATGACTGTAACATTCAAAGTCAGAGTCGTGCAAATCTTGGGTTGGACCCCCATGATGATCCCAAGCATCACCTGCATTCCATGCGGTAGCTATTGGTGCGTTTGGGCGTCACATGTAACTGGAAATGTTTCTTCTGTTAGGTTCTATAGTGACTTTTTTCGTAGTCATTTGCATATTTTAGTATTATGCCCCCAACATCAAATATTCCCTACTTTTTTTGAATAGTAAATTAGGCGGACCTCCACTGACGCTCAGTTACACTAAGGTACCGCTCTTGTTTCTGACCAGCTCCACCTATTGTTGGGAAATTTAAGGAAAATGTGCACATTGTGTTTAATTTTAATCCACACAAATTTAATGCGCAACACGCACAATTCTGTTTTCTGGCAAGTTAGCATAAATACCCGATATGTGTTATTTCTGAGCACGCGTAATGATACAAGATATAATTTGTGGTTTATAGAGCTAATTGCTTATGACGCAAAAAATCTTAAAATAATTATCAAACCGCATAAAACCATCTCCAAATTCTTGCCTATCTGCACTCACCATTTCAGTCTGTAATTCCGGAAAGGCAAAACATTACCCGAAAGAACATAATTTTCGGGGTCCTTTATTATTAAAGTATTTCCGCTCTACTCTGTAAATGTAGTGTTTGGGCCTTAAAAGTATTTAAAAATTATTTAGTATCTACGTACGACTCAAAACCATTAATTAACAAATTAACGACGGTGGGGTAACTGTCATTTTATAAACACCGGTATGTGTCGGTGCTGTTATAGCCACACTTCAATTATTCAGCAATGCAGAATACGCGGAAAAAAGCAGCAGCTGTGTGAAGACAATTTTAGAACTTGCTTATAATTTGTCTGTTTATAATTATATGACGCCATTTTAATATAAAAAGTTTTGCACTTTCGGTTCAGCATGGTTAAAGGAGCTAAAAACGTGTAGAACGGACTTAGCCGGCGTAAACGATGCCGTTCAACTTGAACGAATATAATTGATCAGAAATTACAATATTTTTTTCAAAAATTGAATATAAATCACTTTAAAAACATTCTTTTAATATTAATATGTGCTTTTAGAACCATTTTCATCTATTTCAAGGTTCCGAAAATAGAACCCTTAGCTACGAGCTAAAACGATTGGGTGCCTTTGGTTTCGCGTGGCAAACTTAATTTCATTAATAATGCATGTAAAATCTTAAAAATCTGTTAATTTGATACTGATAGAGCTAATTAAACATACCCGGTCTAATGTAGATAAGAAACCTCATCTCTCAACCCTCCGTGTTTCGACATAAGAGATGGTACTCTTATAGTTTTACCTGGCAAACCCCCAATGCGATCACATTGGGACTCAAACAGCAAAACTGTTAATTTTTTCATCAAAACAACGATTAATTATTGTTATTTATAACTTCTTTGCCACATCCAACTACAATTAAGCATATAATCCTACCGGACACGGATACAAATCATCTCTATAAAATTGAAGCGTAAAACGTTGGCTTTTCCCGACATTTTAAAATGGAATGGGTTTGACGTCTTAACGACATGAAGACGGGGCTAAAACCTAACAAAACTGGGTTCAACCTCCTTTTTTGTTCCACCCGGGCTAATGCGGTGTGCTACAAGGGAAAATTTGGCCGAACAGTGTTGCTACGGCCTACTCTTTTACCTGCAAGCCAAAGTGTACACAAATCTTCGGGTTTTTTTTCGTCCCACCGAATACCTGACGTTGTTCCTTGTCCGGGCCCCCTCCTTGTACCACTGACAAGTGAAAACCACCCCGGAAAATTCAAAGGAACTTTCTGGGCCAACACTGGGACCTCCAGGTTACCGATCAGCTCCACTTCAATACTAGATGATTAATAAAATCTAAAGAATCTGCAACTGATTGACTTTTCATTGAATTGTTAATCGGTAGTTTGATTTTCTTTTGCCATATTATACCCAACTGGATTATTTAGTTCATTTAGAAATTTAGCATACAAGATACAAATTGAAATACCCACCAAGAAATAGACCCTTGTTTAATGTAACAAAAAATAAAACCCAACACTTATTATATTCAATGTAATAAAACAAATCTATTTTTTTCTGAACGGACGAAAACAACAATGTGTAACAGGTATACATAACAATATATATTTTATAAACCGTTTAACACATAACATTACAATCCATTATAGAATACATGTATAATAAATGCCTATTTAAACTTATCTAAATATACAATAAATAATCTAGGCAAGTTCCATAATACTTTTATTCATTCAGTCTATCTAATTTTTTATTAATATCATTTAATATAATATCTATTCGTGTAGGGAACAACCTGTTAATTATAGTCTATAAATGATACTGTATTAAACAGTCCAAGATAATAAAAAGTTAGTAATTTGTCTTGAATCAATAACCAATTATATAGTTCTAAATTCAAAATAAAAGGCCTTCTATGCCAGATCGTGCACATATTATCTCAAATATACTAGTCTGAGACCCAAAGTAAACGCACCGCCGATTAAACTGAAAGTGCCGAGGAGAGAGAGAAATATGGTTAAACGTCCACTCAACAACACAAACTAGGTAATTTCGAAACATTATTGCACAATTTTACTTCAATAATTCATATTGTCACAGGTATTAAGCTGTGGATGGAAATCCACGAAGTTTGGCAGGTAACCCTATTCCTTGCCAGAACAAACCACAGCATTAGACTCATCGCCAGACCCTATGAGGACTGGTGTGTGGTGTGTTAACACCATCATAAAAACATTCTTACATGTTATCATCGAAATCAGATATTACATTAAGAATTGCAAGATTAATGTATATCTCACAAACAAGAATTACAATCATCCATTCATAAAAGTGGTGCGTTTTCATTGCATCTCAGTATATTTTAATGTAAAAACTGTTATTACAGTAAGAACATCCTAGTATAATAAAACCTTCACGAGCCGTCTCGTACGAAAAAGATGGCACAATTATTATTACTTTATGTATATGAAATCAACAGAAATGGCTGTAAGTTAAGTTTGATCGAGGAAGTTGATTCTATCATGTTGTGGTTTTATGAATAAGTCAATCATATTCTTAGACGTGAAATACTGATATGTTTGTTAGGATTGTTTAAATTTCAACAAGATGACAAGTCATTTCCATCCCACGCCCTTGAACTTGTTTGGAAGGCATAAGGAAAAACAACTTCTTGGAGTATCAATGGGACTAGTCAAAAGATGCATACTCTTATTACAGTACCTCGGCAATGTACGGTCGCTAATCCCTGTAAAGCTTGTGCAACAACATGTGCCTACCTCAATCAGCTGCTGTGTGTTAAACATTAAGCTAATAAATCAGAAAATAAAATACCATAATGTTCGGCAGGGATAATTAGGAGGTATTAATACCTTATCAAGAAAATTAATATATATCTATTTTCTATGGCTTGTATCTCAATTATTATATCTAGAGTTCTAAATTAGTATGATTCATTTTCCTTCTAACAGAAACTGGTGTACGAAAAGGATAGAATGAAAAGAGTGACACACAATTGTGAGCAGATTGTAATATGAAATTGTTAGTTGTAAAAGTTAAATAAAATATGATATATTAATGACCATCAAGGTAATGTCTAACAAATGCCCCCCCCCCCCCCAACACCTCCCCTCTCACACACACATCCAACCCCATCTAACTGACAAACACCATTTGCAATTTAGTGAAGTACGTACTATTCATTCCAAGCTAGTCATATCAAGATTCCATGAACTGATTTACCCCCTTTTAGTTCGACCCCAAGATGCAATTATTTTTGTTGTTTATGTTTCTTTCTTATCAAGCGCACACCCCAAATTGTGCATTTAGGTGAGAATTTGTGAAAATCCTAGCACCACCGCTACTGTATACATACATGTACCACAGTGTTCACTACTAGCACTACCCCACCCTAATAATTCTTATAGATGAGTGGAAACTTTGATAACAATCCAGTAAAAAAAACCAAAAAAACATTTAACTAATTGTCAGAAACACATCTATTGAATCATAGGTTAATAATTATTTTTAGAGAAAAAACCTCAATAAGATATATTGTAATAAACAGTTGCCATTTGTCATAGTTCCAATTTGTTTTTAACATTAAATTAATTTGACAATTTAACAAGAAAACAATGATTTGTAACATCCTAAACTCAAGATTTCAAGAAAGAATTTGGATTTCCTCAATCCTTGGAAATGAATGTATCTCAATAATCAAATCTTTGATTTCACTTTTTTGTGTTGTAATAGTATGCTTTTTAAATCGAGAAGGTGATAGTTCAGGTAAGTAAAAGAGCTGCATTGGAGCTACCATACCCATATTTATGTCAACACTGCACTAACCGATGAAATAACCATGTACTGTACAAAAAACATGGTTGTGTGGAACTGTCACCAGTACATAAAAATTCTTGTTGCTGTACCAGTATTTACTTATCATATCTATATAACATATTTCATATTATTAAACTATTAAACAGAGCACTTTGACATATAAATTTAAGATAAATATAAATTTTTCTTAGAATACAAAAACCTTAAATAATAACAAAACAGATTATTAATAACAAACTACATCAAAAATAACAAATTAAATATACCTATCTATATAGTAACAATCCTTTGATTTCTTATTTCCAAATAACCTTTCTACTATAACTTATCATAATATCTGCCACTAAATAGCTTATATTTAACATTGGATCCTAACTGTGCAATATTTTAGCAATTGAGTTATTATTGCACTGTTTATCTGAGCTACTGCAAAGTTATGATATTACAAGTAATCTATATCATACTATACTCATTAAATATAAAATGTGCCCATTCATTACTTTTAAACTTACTGATACCATATAAACAGGTGACAAATGGGTTTTTATGAACTAAAGTGGCTAATAAAGAGGGGTAGATACCATGCAGTGTGCTTTGAATGGTCATTTTGCTCGGACGGCAACAATTATTTTACATTCACATCAACATCCAAATGATTAGAAGTTTTTCCTAGCCAGACTCGCCATCCTGCACCACTGACATGGTAAATCCTAAGTAACTTTCTCTGTCAACACTGAAAACAGAAATCCAGCATCTTACTAATTAAGTTACTGTGCCTCCAGCACAAGATAGGAGTCAAATGAGCTTATAATGAAGCAATCATAGGGTGAATTAAGAAAAACAGCCACTTTAAACAAAGCTTGATATGGCAGGAAAAAGAAAGTATAGCAAGTTTCAAGACAATAACACTAACTGTCAAATTAACAAAAAACATAAATTAATGCGTTTCGACTGTCTCGACTGTTTTTGTGCAGCCAAAACTGTACATGATGCAAACATTCCGCCAACGTAGATGTGGTTGGCCTCCGTGGGTCTATTTATTTAATATAAATTGGGTCATTTTTGATGAACAGGAAGTGTTTTACGGATGAAACAAATAATAATCTCAGATTGCCCATATCTAAGTTATTTCCTAACGGATCTTCTTTGGATGAATCCCATATGGGCTCTGATGGACGTTTTTTTGATATTCTGAAGTTTGCTTGATTAATATTAGCATCAAAGATTTGCGAAAGTTTTCTTCAGCATTTTTTCGACATTCAAGATGGCGTATCTCCATCACTATTTGAGGTATCAAGTTGAAATAAGGAATAAGGAACACATCTGCCTTCAAAATAGCATATTAAAAAATTTTGTGACGGCTTCTGGAAACTTCTGGAAATTACCATGCCTTCCGATTTTTCCTGAACATGAATAGTTCTCTCCATTTTAAAAATAGACAAAAAATGATATAAATGGTGGTGTTAGCCCCAGATAATATCCTTCATGTTCAAAGACCTTGTTAGATAACATTTTCAACTGATTGGCCGCCATAATGGATTTTACAAAAAACATTCAAATCGATATTCAGCTGCCATTTTAATTCCGATTTTTGAAAACTTTTTTTTTGTACTGAACCTATTCCAAATCGCAACAATCTTTAGGGAGCCGATTTTTGAATTTCGATTTTGTTTACTTCCGATTTCACTTTGAAGTTTGTTCGACTTTTCACCATCTAGATGGTGACCTAACCTTTCTATGACCTTTGTATGTATGATGATCCTAATGTCTACTAACAATTAATATAAAAAAGTTTGGTATAACTTCTGGTTTTATTAAGAGTTCAAAATGACAGTTTTTTTTCACTTTAATAGGTATTGGATGTTACTATACTCAATAATTCATGGTGTGACTTGAATGTTGAAGTGACATGGTGTGACGTGACTTGATATACCGAAACACGTCAGTACTCCTTAGGATTTCTAGTTTATATTCTTATGTCAAATAAATTAAACAGCAGTAGATACTAAAATTTGCCAGTATTTGCACATATTCAAATACTTCCATTTCAAACTGCAAAGCAGCTTTGAAATCCAGTCAGTATTTTTCATATCTGAACAAGTAAAAGAGTATTTTGGGGGGGGGGACCAGACTTGAGGGGGTAACACTCTTCGAAAAAGCCTAAGACTCCATCAATTCAAGTCCGATCGGCATGAAAATTGGCATGTTTGTTCTTAGGAAAATATTCTGCATTGACTTGGTGAATTAGATTTTTGAAATTCTTCCAAAAACATGGTTAGTTCCTAAAGAAGAGTCGTTCCTAACTTTCTAGAAATGTCTTTACTGAAAAACTCTTGGTGCATTCTTATAGTGACAAGCAGGAAGATATGAATTTGACCTTCAAATTTGTTCATTTTTGGGAATTTAACATAGTAAGGGGACTAAAATATCAAATGGAGGGAGGTGAATACAACAGAAATGGGGTTTAATACAGCGGAGTTATGGCTTTATGAATGTAACTTATTTTAGGAAATGGTAAACATTTAGATTAATGTAGACATTTTTAACCATTGTCTAAACATAAGCTTCTGTTAACAAAGTGAATTTAGGCCATACAAAAAAATTCAGGTTCTCAGACAATCCTTTAAATATAGGTTTCTATTTAAAACCCGTAAATATTTCTCTCTACAGAAGGAAAGAACAAATTTTGTATTTCTAATGTGAATACTGCTCCTTCCATCAAAATGGTGTATAATACGAGTAATTCCCTTCTCATTACTAGATGTAGTAAGCAGGAGAATTATCATCCATGAAAGAAGATTGTCAATAACATTTACCAAACATTTAGCAAGTTTGTGTACTTGATAATTCAGCCTACTGGACATGTCTAACAGAGTTACTTCCCTTAACAGTGGGAAGTTGTAATCAAAGCCAAAGATGTTTATATTTTTTACATTTTAAAATAAAAACGGTTGTAAAGACAGTATTAAGTGGTGTAGTAGTATCAGAGAACGAGAATATTATTTTTTATATGGCCGTATGTCTGTTGTTCATACACAGTTGGCCAATTTTAAAACAAGATTGACATATAAAGAAAACATCGGCCCTGAACAAATCAGACTGGTGTATAATATTCTTTTTTAAACAATATATCACTGGCTTTTGGCATGTTTGTGTAAAAGTTCGAGAATATTCCTTGATATTTTTTGTACTTCTGGCGTTGTGTCGTTCTTTAGTAGAGCTTGTAGTTTCTCCACACCTCCCTCTTCTTGTAATAATGGACAATATCGTTTCTCTGCGAATAAAGAGAAATATTCTTTCAAGTACATTTAAAGGGACAATAACACTCTTGCTGGCTTGAAAGCTCCAGAAAATAAATAATATCTCTATCTAAGTACTAGATGTTTAAGTGTCCTACCTGTTGTGTAAATTATCCATTACATCCTATTTTACTTGTCCAGAGGGTTCGAAAATATTTTTAAACCGAAGTTTCATTTGAAAAGGTTTACGTTAGACGTTTCAAACCATTATGTTGAGAGAGAGAGAGAATGGGGTTTAACTTCCACTCGACACAACTAGGTCATTTCGGGACTAACATATGGTTTAATTTTATTTCAATAATTCGCTTGCGCATAGGGGTCTTTAGCAGTGGGAGGAAACCGGAGGACCCGGAGAAAACCCACGAGGTTGGACAGGCGACCCTACTCCTTGTCACGTACAACCAGGGATTCGAAACCACGCCAGTCTACTCAATGACAGACTTTATGATACAGCGCGCGCACGCTAACCATTCAGCCATCCACCCCCCCCCCCCCCCATTATGTTGAATTTTTCAAATTTTTTTAAATAAGGTGTGTTAAGATGAAATTTGTATCATCCATTAATTGAAATATTCTAAAATAGTACAATTTGTTGACCAGAATAAAGATTGGGACATATTATTCAGTTACAACAAGAGTGGTATTGAGCCTTTAACAAATACATTATAGGGCCCTAACTACATTATAATTCGGATCTGTAACGGAAATAACTGACAGTTTTTGCCTCATTTCCTACATGATGGAACCAAAGCAAGAAACTGTCATGAAATACAGTACCAACTGGACTAATGAAAATTGAGACTTTGTCATCGATTCATGTGTTACTTACCAAAGTCAGATTAAATGAAACTTTAATGTACAATCTGAACAATCAGTTCTAGTCCAAGCTTGTGCTAGTCTTGGCAACGCATGTTCAATGGTGTGATTAATTTTCTTTTTTCAAACAGAATGACAGAGATTTGTAATTACGTGTTTTGACCGAAGGTCTGAAACACATATACTTTTCGTAATGGTTTTTATTCTTAGGGAGGCGATTTTTGAATTTCGATTTGTTCACTTCTGGTTTCACTTTAAATTTTGTTCGACTTTTGACCTTCTCTCTGGTGACCTAACCTTTAAATGACCCTTGACCTTTGTATATATGATGACCCTGATGTCAACTAACAGAAGAAACAAAACTGTTTTATATCATGATAGTGATGTGGATCAAAATGAGGACCAAAACAATTCAAAAGGGTTTGTGTACCTATGGATAATTAAGAGTAATTACTGAATCTATAAAAACATAAAAAGGAAATGTGAAAAATCGATTCAGCAACTCAGATTCAATACACGAATTGTGAGAACGATATATATTGTGCCAGCATTATCTCAAACAAAGCTGTGTTTATAACATTGATTTTTATTGAATATAATGTTTACTTTTTATATTGTATCTTTCCATCCTGTACAATAAAACTGGTTGTGGGAAATTGTTCACCATGATATTATTCTGATCTGTAGTCAGTTTTTTGAGTTTTTACTATACAATTTTAGCCAATTATTTATAACAGAACTGGAGGATAGTATTAGTAAACCAAAATATAAGTAGTGCTTAATATAATATAAATACCACTTACCATTTTTAGTACAAACATGATTTATGGCCCAAACTGCCCACAGTTGAACTGATGGTAGATCATAACAAATTAACAAGGGAAAGAATGGACTAAATGATCTGAAAATATATACAAAATACACCATATATACACTAGCAGATTAAGATTAGAAATAGGAATCATAAGCATTAACTTTTTGAACCCGACTGGCCAGTTTTCCGGCCAAGATAATAAAGTCTTTATCCCGACTGGCTTGTTTTCCAGCCAAGCATGATGCATTAGGAATTCCACTATGACCATGTGTTGTCTGTAGCGAGGGCAAACAGAGAACACGAGAAAATAGAAATAGTCCGTACATTCCCTTGTTTATATTCATTCTATACCTTATAAAAACATGGTAATGCACAGACTTTTTCTGTTTTTCTTTGGTGTTCTCTTATCTAGTGGCAGTCAATTCTTTTTATGAATTGTCAGATATCCTCTCACAGTCTCACACAACAACTTTTGGTCTTGGAAGGAATTATTAGTGAGCAGAAATTCGCCCATGTATCTGTTATCACTCGTCACTTCAGTCAGTTTTCAAGAGGGATGCCTCGTGTTTTCCTTTGGCGTTCGTCACTTCCGCCTCAGGAAACCTGTATTACTCAGCTATCGTAGCAATGATCTCTGTGTTAAAATTATATTTGGAACGTGTTTAATTAGTTCTATCACATATGTGATAATGACTGACACCAATATTGTCCTTTAAAATAGATGAGGACTGGATATACTCCAAAGCCTGTAGAAGTTCAGCAGTAAATATGGAAGCAGCTGGTGAAGAGTATCCTCGTTTAAACATCGCTTTGTATTAAAATCAGTAATTGTGTACCCATAAAATTGTACTTTGTGTTAATATGTTCAATTACTAAATGCCAATCAAAGAAAATATCTTACCTATATGCTACCATTTCACCCTGTGGTTGTTCCCAGTTTAAAACTACTTGACCCTGTCAATATAAATAATATCTAAATATTAAAATCAAAATTTGAAAATATAAACAACATCTAACCACAGTCAAGGATTTGTCAGCACAGAACAGCGCGCGCACGCTAACCATTCAGCCATCCACCCCCCCCCCCCATTATGTTGAATTTTTCAAATTTTTTAAATAAGGTGTTTTAAGATGAAATTTGTATCATCCATTAATTGAAATATTCTAAAATAGTACAATTTGTTGACCAGAATAAAGATTGGGACATATTATTCAGTTACAACAAGTGTGGTATTGAGCCTTTAACAAATACATTATAGGGCCCTAACTACATTATAATTCGGATCTGTAACGGAAATAACTGACAGTTTTTGCCTCATTTCCTACATGATGGAACCAAAGCAAGAAACTGTCATGAAATACAGTACCAACTGGACTAATGAAAATTGAAACTTTGTCATCGATTCATGTGTTACTTACCAAAGTCAGATTAAATGAAACTTTAATGTACAATCTGAACAATCAGTTCTAGCCCAAGCTTGTGCTAGTCTTGGCAACGCATGTTCAATGGTGTGATTAATTTTCTTTTTTCAAACAGAATGACAGAGATTTGTAATTACGTGTTTTGACCGAAGGTCTGAAACACATATACTTTTCGTAATGGTTTTTATTCTTAGGGAGGCGATTTTTGAATTTCGATTTGTTCAATCCTGGTTTCATTTGAAATTTTGTTCGACTTTTGACCTTCTCTCTGGTGACCTAACCTTTAAATGACCCTTGACCTTTGTATATATGATGACCCTGATGTCAACTAACAGAAGAAACAAAACTGTTTTATATCATGATAGTGATGTGGATCAAAATGAGGACCAAAACAATTCAAAAGGGTTTGTGTACCTATGGATAATTAAGAGTAATTACTGAATCTATAAAAACATAAAAAGGAAATGTGAAAAATCGATTCAGCAACTCAGATTCAATACACGAATTGTGAGAACGATATATATTGTGCCAGCATTATCTCAAACAAAGCTGTGTTTATAACATTGATTTTTATTGAATATAATGTTTACTTTTTATATTGTATCTTTCCATCCTGTACAATAAAACTGGTTGTGGGAAATTGTTCACCATGATATTATTCTGATCTGTAGTCAGTTTTTTGAGTTTTTACTATACAATTTTAGCCAATTATTTATAACAGAACTGGAGGATAGTATTAGTAAACCAAAATATAAGTAGTGCTTAATATAATATAAATACCACTTACCATTTTTAGTACAAACATGATTTATGGCCCAAACTGCCCACAGTTGAACTGATGGTAGATCATAACAAATTAACAAGGGAAAGAATGGACTAAATGATCTGAAAATATATACAAAATACACCATATATACACTAGCAGATTAAGATTAGAAATAGGAATCATAAGCATTAACTTTTTGAACCCGACTGGCCAGTTTTCCGGCCAAGATAATAAAGTCTTTATCCCGACTGGCTTGTTTTCCAGCCAAGCATGATGCATTAGGAATTCCACTATGACCATGTGTTGTCTGTAGCGAGGGCAAACAGAGAACACGAGAAAATAGAAATAGTCCGTACATTCCCTTGTTTATATTCATTCTATACCTTATAAAAACATGGTAATGCACAGACTTTTTCTGTTTTTCTTTGGTGTTCTCTTATCTAGTGGCAGTCAATTCTTTTTATGAATTGTCAGATATCCTCTCACAGTCTCACACAACAACTTTTGGTCTTGGAAGGAATTATTAGTGAGCAGAAATTCGCCCATGTATCTGTTATCACTCGTCACTTCAGTCAGTTTTCAAGAGGGATGCCTCGTGTTTTCCTTTGGCGTTCGTCACTTCCGCCTCAGGAAACCTGTATTACTCAGCTATCGTAGCAATGATCTCTGTGTTAAAATTATATTTGGAACGTGTTTAATTAGTTCTATCACATATGTGATAATGACTGACACCAATATTGTCCTTTAAAATAGATGAGGACTGGATATACTCCAAAGCCTGTAGAAGTTCAGCAGTAAATATGGAAGCAGCTGGTGAAGAGTATCCTCGTTTAAACATCGCTTTGTATTAAAATCAGTAATTGTGTACCCATAAAATTGTACTTTGTGTTAATATGTTCAATTACTAAATGCCAATCAAAGAAAATATCTTACCTATATGCTACCATTTCACCCTGTGGTTGTTCCCAGTTTAAAACTACTTGACCCTGTCAATATAAATAATATCTAAATATTAAAATCAAAATTTGAAAATATAAACAACATCTAACCACAGTCAAGGATTTGTCAGCACAGAACTTATTTCAAGTTTTACCCTGCACCGCCCTCATCCAAACATTACATGTTTACAAGGAAGCAAAAGCGAGGACATCTAGTGACAATATGAATAGGAAAGATAAGATTTCAAATTCAAGGTTCTTGGTAGCCCATGTGAAAAACCAAAGGAAGTAGGTTTAGACCATAATCGACTGACTGAAGACACTACGTTTCGTTGGGAATGGAATGAAGAAAATATTTCTGCTAAAAATAATTTTGTACAGCAAAGTCAACCAAACCATTGTGAGTTAAACGAATCATAATTTTTTTTATAGAAAAATCATAATTGAAACCTTTAAAGGGCAAACAAGATTTTGTAAGAAGGGGGAATAAAATCAAATAATGTTCTTCCTTTCTATAAGATAGGCAGCCAATGTCAATTTCAGAAATATCATAATTTGAAATCTTTATATAATAATGTAATCTAATCTGGACATTATTATTGTAATTGCTGAAAGTTAATGAGACAGACAAGCAATATCGATTTCAATATGGATTATTGTAACCTCTATTATGTTAACAACAAATGTGAACAATACACTGAAAGCATAAAATGTGACCACATTAAAAATTGGGCGTATGAAAAGGAACTTACAAGTTTTTCCAAGACCTCTATTCGTAATGTACCAGATATCACCCATGTTTCTTCTCCATCACTGGCAAGATGAGCTACTATACCAGCAGCAAAATAACTTACATCAATATGTTCAGCATCTAATAACTGACTGAAATAAATAAACCCTTACAAACATAAGATAATATTATTGGTAACTTTACTTATGGGTCATTTTTGAATGAATAAATGAAATGGGATTTAACATCCTACATTTCTGCACCACAGACTAGGGAAAACAGTCATTTTGTAACAAAGGAGTGTTTTAATAGATGAGTTTGAACTTGAGCCAGTGTGTGTGTGTGAGAGAGAGAGAGAGAGAGAGAGAGTTTCAACATCCATTTGACACAAACTGAGTTATTTTGGGACTAACATATGATTCAATTTTATTTCAGTAATTCACTGGCGCGTAGAGAGGTGTTTATCTGTGGGAGCAAGACTGAGGGCCCGGAGAAACCCTGAGGTTATATAGGCGGCCCTACTCCTTGTCATGTTCGAGCAGGAATCGAAACCACACCACTTCACTCAATAACAGGCCTTGTGATTTCACGTGCACTCATTAAACCACGAGACCATCCTCCACCCCCAACCCATTGTGATATTGCTAGACCATTTGCCATAAACTGAAACAGTACAATTACAAATGGATAGAAATTATTAATTGAAAACTTTGTATAATTTTTTATCTCAATTATTGTATGAGAACTAAAAGAGTTGGCAGTCTCAGAATTCCTAGCTGAATAACTGAGCTAATGAAGATGGGCATACACCATACAGTGTGCTATGAGGGAAATTTTGCCTGCACAGCGGGAATTCGTCGAAGAATCCTACTTTATAATGTCACAGATATATATTTCTAAGACCGAGAATATCAGTTTTGCAAGAGATTTCAATGATCGCGAAGATTTAGAAGCCCGATCCTTCACAGAACAAGAAATTAAAGCCATGCAGATGAGTCGAATTCTGCCAAACACGAGGAAAAATACCAATTGCATAGGAATATGGTGACACTTCGAGATCAGTACAAAAGATTGGATTTTAACTTTTTTGATAAGCAAGGTACATTTGCTAATTTCCGCACAGATCAATTCATTAACTTCGCGAGGTATTGACATCCACCACTGACAGACAAAAACAAGAACAGCCATTAAATGAAGACGAGTTGGAATTGTAGAGTTCTCAAGTTTGTAGTGTAGCGAATGCCAATGGATTAATTTATACTAGTAATAGTGTTCAAAATGCCAAGAGATTAATTTATAATAGTAAAGTATTTGGATTATGTGCTGCGGATGAGCATAAGCCGCGACAAAATGTGAAAGTGCGACAAAATGTGAAAGTGCGACTAGATATCAAAATGTAAAGAAAAGTGATACAAAATGTAAGAATCTGACTGAGAGTGACGCACATTTGAAAAGTGCTGAGACTATTGAAAATGATGACTTTTTTACCATAACATGTTCAAAACGGGTTGTAGATGTTCAAATAAATATGTAAATCATGATTTTGTTATTTTTGTCCCTCTTCAACTGATACACGGCCACTTTTCAACTGATACTTTTCAACTGATACCCTCCCATTTTCATCAAAGAGTCGAGAAAAAGTATGGGTATAATCCAATATATGACACCCAAAAATCACTATTTGCCTGGGTACTACTTGGAATCAATATCTGTTCAACTACAAAAACTTGTGTATATCCCTTTTAATAGGACCCAGCTCATCTTTTCATTAAAGCCTCATTGTTTTAAAGGACAACTGATGCTGAACAGATCAGCAAATATCCCTATAAAAGTGTTTAGTTACTCACCAATAATCCTAATATCTTAGTTTCAACCTGAACTCGATTCTCTGTCTCTAGATTTCCAACAACCTGTTAAAAATGTTACAAGTAACCATTATAATAATAGTACATTGTTTTACTTCAGCTGAATAATCTATATGCAAAAATGCAATTATCACACTGACCATCAATATAGTAAGGAAAATAAAATTAAAATTGAAGATAATAGTACATCTATACCTATAATGTTGTCATAAACAGTTCCAAGTCCTTTTCTG